TTTCCCTCCATCATTTCTTGTCACTCTCTTCCTGAGCTGCTTAGGGACATCTGGAAAGGGTGCAGGCTCAACAGTAACCCAGGTTCAGGGTTCTAGTCCTGGGTTGGGCAGATCTGAGGGGTGAAATCCAATGAATGACCTTTGTGGGATTGGCCTTGGGCAACACCTCTCGGTGCCTCTGTCAGAACTGAACCCTACGGTAGCCTCTTACCTCCCAGTGCTTTGGTGAGAGGACGGACTGAAATATACAAGTCTGATGTGTAGTCAGGACTGGGTTAAAACAGTGTTCTGCATTTGTGGGTCTATACCCCAGATGATGGCTTTTCTGATGTGAGGAATGATCAATACTCGTGTGCATGTCACGTGTTCACCCAACCTACAAATACTTAGTGAGTACCTACTATGTTCCAGGCCTTGTTCTGGGTGCTTGGGACATGCCAGTCAACAAAACAAAGATTCCTGCATTTGGGGGACTCGACTTTTATGTCTTCTGGAGAGTGGGGTTCCTTCAGGTCCTACAGAAAATACACAGGTGCTTTTGCCAACTCCGGTCAACTACAATACTGTCCTATCCTTGTAAGTCCTCCCCTAGAGGGCCATGGTCAGGAAAAACATCCTGTAAGTAATAATACCTAACTCTGGGGTAGAGCAAGCTACTTAGTTGAAGCCGCATGGTTTGCTTAACTTGACTTTTTAATGAGTCTACTGTTGACTACAGCTCAAACTGGTGAAGGTGGTCTCAGGAAACGACAGAGCCCGCCCAGTAAATCAGGTGACTCTGGTACAAACGTGCACTGGAAGAGTTCTTCCATGGCTAGTGGAATTTACCAGGAACTGCAGTCACTCTCCTCTGAGAAAGGGAGAGGGGAGAAGAAAGACGTGAACACAAGCTCTGACTAAATTATGGCTTGCACTTCGGACACCACTGTATTCATGCGCGACTTTTCAGACTCACCTGCCAGGATGCATTTGGCTGCCAGCTTCACCATGGTAACCAACCACTACCGCAGACCTGGGAGCGCAAGGGCGTGGGTTCCAGGCGGTGGTGGGTGGACTTCGGGGCCCTGGGCCAACCTGGGAAAGGCAAGTGGGGAGGCCTGAGGGCCGGTGGCCGCCGCAAGAGGGGGACAGATGGGGCCTGGAAGTTCTGGGCGGGACAGGAGGCAGATACGGAGCTGATGGGCCGGGGATGGGACCAAGAAGACGCAGACGGGTCGCCTTAACGTCCCACAAAGCAGCCTGGAAAGGTGCAAGCACGGCAACGGGGCTCCAGTCCCCAGCCCCACCCGTGAGCCCAGGCCAGTCCAGCCCAGTAAGATCGGAGAAACCTGACCCGGATCCCCTCAAGTCCCAAACACCTCTCCAGTCGCGATCGCCAGGCAACCACCGCCCACCTGCCCGCCTCCTCCTTCTTACTGACCCTCGATTGGCTGCACCGAGAGCTCCCAGCCCCGAAGTGGGAAAGGTGGGCGTGGCGAACAGCTATTTTTAAGAGGCTATTCGCAGCAATATCTGTTCTTCAAGTTAGCCCCGCTTGGTGAATGGTTGAAGAATATGTCAATCACTTCCATCTCCGGACCCCGCTCCGCCAGAGTTCCGGGATGAGAAGCTCCAACAACGCGCCCCAGAGGCTGTGATAAAAGAGCTTTCTGATTGGCCGGGCTGGTTTGGACTATTTTCGGGAGGGCCGGGGACGCACCCCTCTGCCCTCCTGCAAGTGGGTTCGCCCGCGAGGGGCTGGTCCGGCGCGCGTCAGTCTGGAGAGGCGCCTGCGTAGTGGACTAGGCCTCAGCGGCCGAAGCTTCGCTTTTAGCCGGTTTGACGTCTCCCGCGTTCTTGTCCCGGAAGCACGGCTGCAAGGTGCATCAGAAAATCAGTCCCTGACTCCGCAGCGAGCAGGGAAATCTCATTTTTTAAAGCCACAGGATGTTATGTGCTTAAAAATCTAAGACATAAAGTGTTTAAAGCGCTGTCTGTGAACAGCAGAGGACACGAGTAAACTGATGCTGCTGGGTGGTTGGACTCGGGGACTGAATGCCATTCTTTCCTCTCCTGTAAAGTGGAGAGGGCACCGCAGAGCACACAGTGTGTGTGGTCCAGGACACGGGGAGGCTCCGGAATACCTGTTGATTTTCCCGGGAGGCTCCCCTTGCACTGAGTCACTGCCACCTTCCCTCCTAGGGGGGTCTCCTCACCCTCTGTGCCTCTAAAGATGCGGTTAGTAGAACCTGTCTCATAGGGCGGTTGTGCGGTTGACAGGAAGCTCGTAAGCTGGGATAGAGTAGGTTCTCAGTAAGTGGTGGCGGGTGGATGAGAGGGCTTGGTTTATCGTCGCAGTCATAGTCTGGCCAAAGGCAGCCCCTGTCCTCACGCTGCGATGCCCTCACGAAGGGGTCCCATGCCCTCCTGACGTCTGCACTGGTTTGCCTTTTCTGGGCTGCTCTGCAGAGCATGTGTGTGCATGCATGGAGGAGCATGAGCAGGCATGCACACGCTACATGGCTGTGAAGCTTTCAGCCCCAAATCCAGAGTAAAGCAATTAAATTGGCCGGAATGTTCCTTCCTTGGAATTCGTTCCCGGCATTATGGCAAAGACCTGTCTCCTTCATTGTGCTTACCCACCTTTCTCTGGAGACATCCTGTGAGTCCGTCTCAGACACCCCAGGCCTAGGTAAGCAGAAAGCCTCTGGCTGGTCTTCTGCCTTGATCTTGCTGACCCTCTTGTTCTCCATGAATGGTGAGTGACCCTGTTCATCCTTTAGAGGACCCCTTGAGTGAGCCCCTCTGGAGGCAGCTCTGTGTAGCTAAGACAGATACATTTGGGGGAAGCCTCCTTAGAGAGTTATTCCCTGCACCACACCCATACCCGCCTTGTGTGGCTGCTTCTCGGTGTGACTGTGGTCAGCACCGTGGCGAGAGCATTTGGACCTTTCCAGAGAAACATAAACATCTGTAGAGTGAAGCCTGCCCCCTCTCCCCACGGGGCCATACATTCTTGATGACTCGATGATAGCTGTGTGACTGAGTCACTGGGCTGACGGTGGTAGAGAACGTAGGACCCCCGAGGGCCCCTGAGAAGGTCCTGACCCGTCCCTCTCTGAGCTGCTGCAACAGCCAGAGCTGGCGCGTGTTGGGCACGTTCTGAATGCTGGCCTTGTTCTAAGTGCTTTTAAGGATGAATTCACTTAATGTTCCTGTTCATATTTCATATTCATGATAACCCCTGTGAGACTCACAGCACCCCACTCGAAAGATGTGGGACACCAAGGTTCAAATGAGGTTAAGTGGAATGCCTAAGGTCATGCAGCTGGTGAGGGGCAAAGCAGGAAAGCATATGTGCTGCCAGCCCTGCCCAGCAGAGGCCTCTCCTGCCTCCAGCTCCTCTCACACTTGGGCTGATCCCAGGGAGCAAGTAGGCACTGAGTTCCTTGCAAAATACTGCATGTTTACTGAGCCTTATCTCAGTCTGTTCGCTGTCGCTGTCACAGAGTACCGCAGACTGGGTAATTTAGAAGGAAAAGATGTTCATTCTCACAGTTCTGGAGGCTGGCAGTCCCCAGGGCTTTATGCCAGCCTCTGTGAGGGCCTGGAGGCTGCATCGTCCTATCACAGAAAGGCAGGCAAGCTTGTGCAAAAGAGAGAGGCACTGGGCCGACTTGCTCCATGACCTGGGCTCGACTTGCCCCCTCCATGATGACATCTATCCACCCATAAGAGTTCTGCCATAAGACTCTGTCTCCTCATAGGGCCCCACCTCCTACACTTGCGTTGGAGATTATGTTTCCAAGGTAAGTACTTTTAGGGACACATTCAAGTCCAGAGTAAGCACTGTATGTCAGGCAGATGCCAAGCTCTAACATCCTCTCTTGGTTGATGTCACCACTTGGGAAAAGGAAGTCATCATGACTTTAAGGAAAAGAAACTGAGTTCCAGAGAGAGCCCAAGGTCTTGCTACAGCCGACTAGAGCCAGGACCACCCCCACACCCCCTAATTTCCCCTCCATTTCCTGGTATAATCTCTCTGATTTCATTAAGAAACTTTTTTTTTTTTTTGAGTGCCTACCATAGGCTAGGCACTGTATTGGTTGCTGAGGTCACTGAAGTGAAGATGACAGTGTCCCAGGTCCTACTTCTGGCATATCAGGGCCACGTGGGAGTGTGGGCCCAGGGTTGTAGGTCCCTGAAGAGCCAGGAATCTGGATTTTTGTGTGAGTTAAGTTAAGGCCCTTAAGTTTTGGCAGTGAACTTACATTAAAACCCTGGAGTTGCAGTAGAAACTTCTGTTGAGTGGTTCAACCTGGGACTGCCTGTCTGTGACCTCTGATCGGGACAGGAAGACACGTGGGAACAGATTATTGTGACGTGAGTAGACATGGGACTTCTTGTACTCGAGGAGCGGTCCTCACCTGGCTGGGTAGAGAGGGAGTTGAGAAAGGTATTCTGGAAGGAGAGTTCTGAAGAATGGTAGGGATTTATAAGGTGAGCCAGGGGAAAGAATGTGTTAAGTAGATGGGATGGCCATGCCAAGGCCTGAGGTTGTGGGAGTGTATCGCATGTTTGGAGATGGCAGCTGCTGCTCTTGCCCAGGTATAAACAGGAGACAGGTAGGAGATGGGACTGGCCAGGTACACTGTGACCCAAGCATCTGCTTGGAGTCAAGCATGCAACTGAATGATGACAGACAGCGAGGCAAGGCCCAGCATAGAGTCCTTCCTTGAGAAATTCATTCAGCGAATATTTTATTGAGTGCTTACTAAGCGCTAGGATGCAGAGGTGGACCATCAGCCCAGTGGGAGGCAGGCAGTCAAGCAATGCCGGCCCACGACTGCATGTAACAAGCGCTGAGTGAGAGGGCTTGGTGCATGAAGACCGAATACGCTGCGGTCCCTGGGCCAAGGCCTCAGGCTCACCAGGGCATTTGTTAGAAACGCCCATTCCCAGCTCCCCCCAGACTGGCTGAACACTGGCAGGGAAGTCCACACTTGGTTTTCGTCGCCCTCCTGGTGATCGGGATGTACCCTCTTGTTGGAGAAACACTGCTCTTAGCTTATGCCAGGACCCACCTTCACCTACAAGAATATCTGCCCACTTTCCTGTTTCTCCAGCCGCCCGAGAACACGTCCACCTCAGGGCCTTTGCATGTACTGTTCCGAATGTGGCTGCATGGTTCCTTCCCTCCCGACCTTCAAATCTCTGCTCAGATGTCACACCCTATGGAAGCCTTCGCCACCACGCAGTCTAGGAATTTCCCCCAATCTGTTGGTCTCCATCTTCTCGCCTCACTGTACATCCTTCTAAGCACGCACCACTACCTGGATTATAGTCCGTCATTCTTTGTTTGTTATGTAGTATCTGTCTCCCTGCACCAAAAGGTAAACTTCCTGAGAACAGGGATTTTGTTTTTAAGTTCACCCAGCATCTAGCAGTGTGGAGACACAATCAGTAAGGTTTTTGTTGTTTGTTTGTTTGTTCTAGGGTGAATGCACTTGCCAGAGAGAGACAGAGAGAGAGAGAGAAAGGGAAAAATCATGCCCCATCCCACGCCAGGGCCATGGCCATGCCACAGCCCCTTCTCTTTCATTCTCCTCTTTGGGTTCGGGGCATGCATGCACCTGCACATGGCATATGTTTTAAGCCACTGGGTCTGGGACTCAAACCATGCAGTTACCTATGTGGGATTCAGCTGCCTTACCCATCATGCCACTGGCTAGCTCAGTAAATATTTTTGAACAAACGAATGAACCTCCTAGGTTTTACCCTTTTGGTCATTTGCTCATTCAACAAGGACCCATTTACCCTTTTGGTCATTTGCTCATTCAACAATGACCCATTCTTATTTATTTATTTATTTATTTTTTTGAGAGGTTTTTGCTATAGGGCGTGTGTGCTCGCCAGAAAGACAGAGAGAGACAAAGAGATAGAAAGCGAGAAATCACCCTCCCCACAGGGGATGGCCAAACCGCAATCCCTTCTCCTCCATTCTCCTCTCGGGATCTTGGGCACGCACGCACACACGCCCGGCATGAGTTTAAGCCGCTGGGTCCAGGACTCAAACCACAGTCGACTACATCGGAGTCCAGCGACATTGCCATTACACTAACTGCTGGTCCCCAAGGACCCATTCTTGAGCACCAATTATTACACAGGGAATGGGCGTACTACTAGACAGGGTGTCGCGATTACTCCGCTGGGGGTGGCCTAATCTTGGTTTCTTCTCATCTCCCTGATGCACCCCTAGGTAGACCCGTATGTGCTGTGGAGGAGGAGGGGTTAACAGTGCTGTTTCCCAAGGCCGAGGACAGGGCAGTTTGGGCTGGTTACAAAGCAAGGGGTTTGGGTAAGAGGAGAGTGAGAGGCAGCTGCTGGCAAGCTGTTCCCAGGGAGTGTTCAATCATCCTGGGGCCGAATGCCTCCCG